ACCTTGTTAAATTGCTTATGGGTTAAAAACAATGGCTTGGTGATCGATCGATCAGTGTTGATGATCGGTTGATCACAACTTCTGCTTCTGGATTGATATTTCTCGAATTTTCTAGGATCAGTCTTATGGAAATTGAGCTTATCGTGCAATCCACCCGTCCGATTTTAGCAATCTATTTAAGAAGATTTACAGATTAAAACGATATTTTTTGGGTTTGGTGAGCGCAAATAAGTTTGAGAGAATCTCTAACATATTTGATTTACATGAAAAACGTTAACATTCAATTTAAGTGCCATGCCGGTTAAATTTTGTAAGATAGGAGATACACCATTTAGTTTTTCTTATTTTTAATTTCTCCAGTATATTATAACTAATATGATTTTTATTTTAAAATATTATAATTCCGCGTTTGATGTGGATTCAAATCTAGTAAAGAATTGAGCATAAAAACATCATGAGGTTAGAACCATTTTGGCTACGGTTCAACCAACATCGTCCGGTTTAGGTTATCCTTATTATTCACCGGATTTTTTTGGCAAGGAAGGTAAAACCGTAAAAGTAAAACCCACGTAAAAAGTCAACTATTTACTTCAACGTTGTTTAAGTGAAAATTAAGTGAAAATAAAGAGCCTTGACCTTACGACGTCGTTTTGGGAGAATTCGAAATCCTCCCGCTTGCTATAAAATGAGATGAGAATTGACGGACTGTACAAAGCTTTCTCCAGACTCAATCATAAGAAAAAGTTTTTAGGGTTTTTTCTAGGAAAGTAGAAGAGAAAGGAATAGAAAACGACGAAATGTAGAAGAAAAAACGAAAACATCTCCTCGATATGATCCTTACTTTCCAACGAAGATCGCCGGAAAACTCCAACTCCATGAGTATCTGAAGGTGGAGTCGGATTTCATGCCCCTCTATAGAGATCCGAAGAACGTGCAGATTCGAAAAGCAGTAATTCACGTGATGCTTGGAGTAAGTTTGTGTTCTTGAGCTTCGCAATAGGTTTTGATTTTGTCCAAGTGATTTCTCTGTTATATGCGATCGTTCGTGGGATTAGGTCAAAACTCACGAATTGGGGTTTTTTTTTTTGTTTTGCAGTACGAGGAAATCACCGACGTGTTCGTCCCTTACATTGCGATGAATCTTTTTGATAGATTTTTCTCCAGAAATGGCATTCTGGTATGTCAATATCCTCTGTCTCTAGCTGCTATGTTTGGGATTTTGTCTTGAAACATAGTTTCGAGTGAATTTCACTCGAAAAAACATGTCCTTGGAACATATCATTATGATTAGATCATCTACATCTTTTCACACTGGAACATGATAATCACTAGATAAGAGAACCACTCTATTTAGCTCCTTTGTTTAGGACCGTGTGTACTACATCTTGTGTTAGAATTAAGTGACTTTGCCATGAAAAATTGGGTTTTTGTCTTGGAACAACACCATGTGGTAGTTTCTTATGTTTTCTTCTTGATTAGATCAAGTGTAGAGGAGTTTTGAGTTGAAACCAGACAAAAACACCATATCCGAACTAAATCGGACATATTAACTTGTTACCACCATATCCGAACTAAATGCGCATATATTTACTTGTTACCACCATATCCGCACTAAATGCGCATATACATAGTTGTTACCATATATTTCGCAACTTGTTATTCTATATCTTTATCTTTCCTTGACTAATTCTAAAACGAGTTTTAAGACTTATCCAGCGCGATTCCTTTTTTCTCTCTCGATGAGTTCCTGTAACGGTCTCTTTTTTTGAATAAAATGGGCGTTACGGCCATCGTCTCTCCCTCTTACAGGCGGGCCTTCCTCACCGACCATACACATGGCCTCGCTCGTCGAAACCAGCCGACGTCTCTTGGTGTTTTGCTCAGGTTTTGGATGTTCCTAGTACATTGGTGGGAGTATGTTTGCATCAGTGTTCAACACATCTCCGAGGTCGTCTGCGTATTTGTAGGTTTTGCCTCACATAGCTCACGCGTGGAGCGTGTTACATATCTGCAGGATAGACTTGTCTTTATCAAGATATCCCCAAATTATGAAGATCATACGGATGTGGACTCAAATCTTGAGGCTGTGAGATATGGAAAGATCTATTTCAATGGTGTTCGGATCTACATGATATTTTCTCTTAAGATTCAGAGTAATCCTGTATGGCTTTCCTTATGTGGGAGCAATCACTTAAATCTCGGGTCGGTGATCACTGTAATCCGCCGATGTATCAATCACACGGAGCTGATTGGAGACCTATTGACTAAACGGATTGATCTCGCCATTCACCTACAAAAACAAACATTGAGAGTTCATCTCTCTCACTACGCTAGAACTGAGAAACAATCCCACACATCTCAGAGGTTTACTTTGTCCATTCGCAACACCTTACCTGTCAATATGGCTTTCTTTGGGAAGATGGTGGCACCGCGGGATGAGAGGAAGAGATTGTCCCCCATTCAGATGCCTGATTTTGATGACTCGAAGATCATCAAACAGTTTGAGAAGACGTTGGTTGGCAGAGTTTTGAACCCGAAACAGACGCACCGGGTCAAAGCTCTCATTGCTTTCTTATCGGAAGTGTGGTAGTGTCAGGATCGGGTTAAGGGCATTGACATGGGGACAGGAAAATTCTAATTCTGATTTGACCAGGAATCCGATATCACGCAAGTACTTGCAAGAAGGCCATATCACTTTGATGGCTGGTTCTTTGCTCTGGAACGATGGATCCCAACCAGTCGCATTGACTTCCCGTCTTCCATCCCTATGTGGATCCAAATTCATGACTTGCCAGACTATCGATGCTATGAGAAGAGCGTTGTCGAGATCGGGGATAAATTGGGAGACCTCATGGCCTGGGAAGTTCAGCCACCGCGGGTTCAGGTCACTCTGGAAGGAGGAGCACCTCTGGTCTTGAATTGAGACCTGGCGTTCAGGATTGGTCACATTATCACAGTGCGTTTCAAATACGAAAGCTTGATCGCTATTGTAAAATCTGTTACCGATTGACACACAACAAATTGGATTGCCTTGAGAGGCCTCGGACACTACACAGTTGTGGTTACTTCCGGTGTCACGGGGGGAGGATGCTCGACATCGCAGGAATGATCGAACCAGCTCGGCTATGGAGTCGGCGCTCGATCACCATAACACCGGCCGAGATCCAGCTCGTCACCGTAGGGCGGAGAGAACACATGCAGAAAGAGAGGGTCGCGTCGAGGCGGTCGAAGCTCCAGCCAAAATAACAGTCTGCCGGAATCTCTTCGGAGAGAACGCATCCCCGGCGAAGCCCGACTCATCTGGGCCTGTGATTCGGCTCGAATCGACCCAAAATTGGGTCCGGAAGGAGCCTCTCTCTACTGGAGAGGAGAAGCGCCTGGGCAAGCGTCCGGTCGGAGGCGAGGTGGGAGAGCCTTCCGCAGATGCTCCGGCGTTGCAGCAGGCTCATGAGAAGCGACGGTGTGCTCCAAATCGACATAAGTCAGAGAAAGAATCTTTGGCAGAGGAGGAGAAGAGTTTCGCCAGAGCCAGGTGGTGTAAGGCGTCGGTCGCAGAGGTCAGGGCAGTAAATAAAGCGAGCCTTTGGAACACGGTGAATCCAACAGCGACGGCGATGATGCCGGCGATAGCTCAGAAGGAAAATTCCACGGCTGAGCTTCGTGTGCAGGGAGAGAGAGATGGGCCCGATTTGGGCCTTGATGGGGTCATTTCCCCTCTAAAAATAATGGTTAAGGCCTCAAAAGCTACTACAGATTCGGAAATGGGCTTGGGCCCAAAAGACATAACACAGAGGATTATGCCCAATTCTGGAAAACAGGACTCACCTGGGAAATGGCCCACTAATCCGTTAGGAGTGCGAAGGAAGATTGGACACAGCCCGTTTAAAGATGTTCGGGTGCAACAACAAGCGTCAAGGGCGGTTAAGGCATCACTTAGAGATGACAAGCCTCTTTATGAGCCTCCGCAGCCGACGGCTTCGGGGTCGGCTCCTTTCACGAGGAAAAACTCGAAGAAAAAAGACTCGGTGGTTGGAGAGAAACCACCGGCAATCGCTTA